TCTCACTCTGCTTTTCAATGTTCTGGCTGTTCCGGCAGGCCTGGGGCTATTGAGTAATATTCCAGCCCCACGTGACTGAATGGTGATTTTGTTTTAAATAATTGTACTTTTAATATTCTATGTCTTTGCTTTGTTGTGAGCCGCCCAGAGTCCCTAGGGAGTGGGCGGCATACAAATTTTATTAAAGTTACAAAGTTACAAAGTTCTAATTCATATATTTATGCACAAGTTCATCCAAAAACTCTGCAAAAATAATACCGTCCTTTTAAATTTAGTACTCATCAAGAAATAGAAGGCAACAAATAAATCCTATTCAGTAAAGAAAAAAACCCTAAAACATGCATGAAAATAGTAAATGTTAGGGTGGGTTTATTTTTTTTGGGGGGGGGGGTAAAGATTGCCATTAATCACCCACCTATTAAAATTAAGAAAATGTGTCCGTTTTTCAGAACCTTTCTGAAAATGTCCTGTTTCAAATACTGGTGGTCCTTCTTCATCGCTGTATAGCAGATCTTCTGACACATGATAAGCAAAATCTTTAAATGAAACAACAAGAGGCAAAGATTTTCATGTGAATGTTGTATCTTATTTCTAAGGCTAAGATTTTTTTCTTCTCACTGGGTCATTGAATCTTATTTCTAAGGCCAATTTTAGATTTTTATTTAAACACCGGCAATTAAAATAAGTTGTCAAGAAGCCTGATACCAACTTTCTAGTGAAAATATAATAAAATGAAAAAAGGCCCCAGGGTAGAATTATATCCTATTAAATTACAGCTCAAATGTACCTGTTTTAGATACTAATTTTTGTTTGCTGTTACATTTTAAATAACCTGGTTTATTTAAAAGTATATTCTATTCCACAAAATAAAATGTGCTTGCAATTTTGATGCAATTAGAATCACAACCTTTAATCAGTTCTCATGGTTTCTATGTAAAATAGTTAGCAGGAAAACTAATGTTGGGAAGCAATTATTCACTAAGGGCCATATAAACTGCAGAGGTGTTTCATTGTAAGCTAGTTCATCACGCTTCTATTTTCCTCTGCTGTGTGTGCTGCATTATGGGAAAAAGGAACAACAGACAGGGCCATTTGTTTCACTGGCAAACCTATGTGGCCTCATCAATATTATTTTGATTTCTTGTACCAATTTTTTCCTTCCACTGATAAAATGCAGCAATATATTGGTGGAGGAATGATTGGAACAATAGAACATGTTATTTTGTATTGTCCCTCTAACTTGTCAGGAATTATCATCTCCATTCCTTACACAATATCCTGCTCTTTTCAACTTGTTTTATCTTAAGTTATTATCACATCAATTTCATTTTATTTCTTTGCAAGTAATATTGTGTGAGCTCAACGGCACTCAGGTCTCGAATCCGGGCTGTCAGCTTTCCAGTTGACAAGCTCAGTGTCTTAACCATTGAGCCATTACACCCCTTCTTAGATATTTTGCAATATTTTCTTTTTTATTGTAAATATTTTTTTTTGGGGGGGGGGGTGCTTGTTTTATTTGCTGGTCAATGACTGTATAAAAATTGATTTAAGTGATTGTACAATATGCATTCCTATTATTAGATAAATATTGATAAGAAATGAGGAGGAAGGAGTTTCAGTTAGATATTTTATTTATTTACCTATTTCTATCCTGCCTTTATTATTTTTACAAATAATTCAAGGCAGAAAACATATCCAACACACTTTCCTCCTCCAATTTTCCCCACAACAACAATATGTGATGTGTAGAGATTCTCAGTCATTCAGGTCATGGTTGTTCCAAAGGTGCTTTTTCAGGGGGCAACTGGACTCACTTGTTTTTTCTTTTGAAGACATTTCCCTTCTCATCCAAAAAGCTCTCATTCACCTCTGACATAACAGTGAGGAATGGAAGGATCCTAACAGGATGCAGATTACCAGCTGTCTGCAAGGAATGTAAATCCATCCATTCCCTACTGTCCTATCAGAGCTGAAGAAGCTTCTTGGATAAGAAGTGAAACACCTTCAAAAGAAAAAACAAGGAAGTCCAGTTGCCCCTGAAAAAGCACCTTCAGGACAATCTGTGATGTGGTTGGGCTAAGAGACAGTGGTTGGCCCAGGCTGAAGCAGGACTGGAACTCCCGGTCTCCTGCTTGCTACCCTAGTGTCTTAACCACTAGACAAAAATGGCTCTAATTGTCCAGCATTTTGAACCTATTTGTAATTTGTTAATGGCTACATTAAAACAGCTTCTCTAATTGTGTGGCTTTCATGTTGCTTGGGAAGCCACAAAGCTATATTCTTAAAACATCTGGACATGAATTAGAGAAGGATATGCTAACATTTTAGCTTGTACAAAACCCATTCTACAGCAAACATACATACCTCCACCCAAAACTCTAAGTACATAAACTTTATTGAATTTTAAGTGTTTTTATGAATTAATCTGGCTAACCAAAAGATCAATCTGCACTGATTCTTTTCTGCCCTATTTTCAAAGAGAAGAAAAGGCAGTCTTTCAATACTAGTATTTTATTAAAATGAAGGTGACTCAACTATCAGTCCTAATTTTACGGTAGATAAAACATTCTGTTTCAGAAAATAAGAAATTTAAATACCTGATTTATTCCCTCCTTTCTGTGCCAGTTCTGCATGTGGAAATACATTTTGTACAACTTCCATAATTCTTTGCAGTACATTTTCAAGCAGTGGTTTTGAAATTGTAGAGAGCGCTTGACCAGGTGAGGTTACTGCCCGCTGAGAAGCAGGTATAGTCTTTTGCATAGCAACCACAAAATCCTTGGCGGTTATGTTAATAGAAGAGATATCTAACTGCAGCTTCACGCTGCTGGTGTAAATCTGAGGATAACGTCGACGCAAGGCACACAAGGCTGCCTCAGTACATATCGATTTAATATCAGCCCCACAGTACCCTATAAAGAAAAACATTTGTATTAAAATATCTTTAAAAGAAGCCATTTAAAGCCATTTAATGATATATGTGCCATGTAAGAAATTGGAAGAGTTATTTTCTCCCTGAAACAAAGAATCTACCATCACAAGACCTACAACTAAACACAGAAATGTTTTTTTTAAAACCCACCTGGGCTTTATGCTTTATAGAAGTTTCTAAAGTGGCATTTCCCAACTGGGTAACTGACAGGCATAAAAAGTGAGAATTTAAAAAATAAATATATAAATTTGTGAATGAATGCAAAAACAATAGGTATATGCATATCTATCATGCCACTTCTTATAAGTGTAAGACAGCCAGATTGGTATGATGATTAAGGGATGAGGCTAGAAACAAAGAGACTCTGAGTGTTGCCTTAGGCACAAAGCCAGCTTTGTGCCTAAGGTGGCTTTGGGCCAGTCTCTCTCTTTTAGACCTAGGAAAAAAGGAAAGAGCAAATTCCTTCTGAAAATCTTGCCAAGAAAGTTGCAGGGACTAGTTCAGGCAGCTGTGAAGAGTCAAAACATGACTAAAAAAAACAGCTGAAGATTAATAGGTAAACACCTCCCCACTTACCTTGATAAGAAAAAGAAAAAAAGTTATACTGACTACAGTGTCCATTACTCCTGCAAACCATCCTTGCTCACACAATGCATTTTAAAAACTTCCAAGGAACACATGTACTCCCCCAATTATTATCTTCTTGATCTTCATTCCTCATATATGTTTTGCAATTCAATCCTAATTTATTCTCTTAAATAATGAATATTTCAAATATTTCTTTATACTAGTCACTTGCTATTTGTATTCAGAGTTCATATTTAGCATTCATTTCTTTACGATTCCCTTGTTTAACGATATACACTTTTTATATCTGCCAAGCCATCAGCATACAAGTCATTTTTATGGTTCCCTTAACATATCTAACTTCCATTTCACTATAATAAATTGAGTAGAAAGATGGTCTCATGGGATTTAGCATTCTTTGGTAAGCATTCTACCAATATTAAGTACATGTGTCAAATTGCTCTGCTATTTATATATAATCATTTCATTTCATAAGCATCATTTATATATAATTTACAGTCCCCTCACTCAATCTTCTCTGTCAAGCACTAAAGAATAAAAGCAGGCATACACTGCTTCCTGGCAGTCAATTAAAGTGGAAAAAAACCCCACTGCAATACATTAGAAATTGTTTGTTTGTTTATTGGATTTATATGCCGCCCTTCTCCCAAAGGACTCAGGGCAGCATACATTAAAAAAACACATATTTACAAAAGTTAAAAAAAATTAGATAGAGTATCCAAAAAACAAACCCAATTAAGATTAACAATAACATTTTTTAAAATAATGATTAAAATTAACAATAATCAATCATTTATTTTATTTTGTTCAGGCTAGGCTGGCTTGCTGGAAAAGCCAANCCTCAATCAATTTGCTTTTGTCATAGTCTCCACGATGTCGGTAAATACACTGACTGAGTAAGGCATAGAGTTTCTCCAACTCAAGTATAGTGTAGTCTCCACTTTTGTCAACAACCATGTTCAGTAATTCCTGGAGAAAACAGATACTACTATTTATTCCTTCAAATAAGACCGAGCATTTCCTTCAAAAGGCTGGTTATACTTCCATACATTCTGTATACTTGCAGATAAGAATTTTAAGCAAAAAAATACTGTACACACACACACACACACCTTTCCTGGTTTGGTTTATATGTGAACAGGCATATGAGCAAGTATGTAGAGTAATACTTTTTAAAAGTACTTGTATATATTAGAGGATGAGTCTATTCACGGATAAGCAGATCTTGAATTTTTAACCAAAACCATGAAAAACACATCACTCATGATAGGCCAACTGTCAAAATTAAAACACATGGACATTTGAGAGTTGGCATATCCCAAACACAGGAGCAATTTCCTATATGGAATAAAAGGGCATCTAAAAAATAAAATAGGTTTCCTTTATGATCTTAGCAGTGAAGCTATTTGTAAACCTGAATGTCTGTTCTCCTTTCCCAAAACTATTTAACATCTTAGTTTGTAACTTCCAAAATATTATTTTGGTTTGAGTACTAGCACATTTCAATTCACTGAACTGGAAAGTGCCACTGTATAGAAAATACACAGCATCATTTATACTCCATTTATGATTATTAGAAACTGTGATCTAATAGCGATGTAACATTTAGCAGATTTAACACTATAAATTATTCAGAAAAAAAGACCCACCCATCCCCATGCACACAACAGAAGGCAAGACACTCTGCACTCAGGTGTAGGCTATATTAAGATACACAAAAGTAAATAATAGAGAAGGAAGACTGCCAATTCAGTAACAGGTTTTCTCTAAGACATACATTCAACTTGTCTTGATCCACAATGAGTGGTGGTGTTTGCTCCGACAGAATTTCCATGGCTTTCTCAACATTTATGAGGTGCTGCTGCTCTACCTGTGAACGCCTTCCACGGGTCATACGAAGCATACCTACAGCTAGAATAATAAAAGAAAAAGTAGGATTTATTACTAATATATAGTAAATGAATAAGCCTTGTTGTGCTTAGAAGTAATATCTAGTAGTAGAGTTCCTATAGAATAGTTTAGTCTACCTAGTATCCTACAATATCCCATTTGAAGCCTAGCAATATATAGGGTCACATCAAATAATTAATCATTGAGATGATTGATCTTATCTTATTAGGGGTGGAAAACACTAAAAGATCAGGGTTATATCTTGGCCTACACCAAAATCTGCCCACTGTATTGTCAAACTTCACTAAAAGAACTTGGAAGTGTTCTACAGTCAACAAATGGGGATATTAGGGATTCCCAACCAAAAGTGCCCTTACTTTCCTAAGGCTTTCTTTTCAATAATTCAGGTATTGGTTTCTGTATTAGCAGTTGTGGGGGGAAGGTCTTCTACCTAAGTGGGCCACATATAGAGATTTTGGTCATCATACTGTATATGCAATAAAATCACTCTAAAGGAAAATATTTTATAATACTATAATGTTGTTTTTCTTTTGATGATGTTCTGTAACTACCCCACAAATATTAATTGTAGCAATATAATTCTAATGAAATAATCACAATTTCACTGAATGAAACTAATTAACTAATACTGTTAGACAGGCACTGCAATGTGAATTTAAACTTAGCTGGTAGAATCACTAAAATGGAGAGAGCGCTACAATGTTTAAGAGAATGTGAGGTAGAATTAAACACTCTCCTTAAAGCAGGGGTCCACAACTCCCTGTCCATGGACCGGCACTGTTGAGAACAAGGCCACGCAACCAGCGGGGTGAAGGCACAAAGCTTCATCTGTGCATGTGCGGAATCTAGATTGCACATGTGAAACCATCTCCCTACAGCCAGTCCATTGAGCTAGAAAGGTTGGGAACCACTACTTCAAAGTCTATTTTGATGCTTTCCACTCACCATTAGCATCCCTATCTAATGAATGTTCTGTTGCATCACCATTACATGCTTTTTGGGGTTCTGAAAGTTCAGAGTCTTTGTTGTTCTTGACAAATTTACACTTAGCATCATTGTGAATGGCTGACAGCTCATTCTCTGCATCAGATATACTGATATACTGCTCCGGAGGCACAGGTTCAGAGTCATTCAGAGACGTCTGTGTTCTTTCAACTTCAGTCTGCTCCATACTGGAGTTATTATTTTCCATACATTCTTCTCCATCACTCTCCGCTTCATCTGGCTCTTCTCCTGGGGCTTTGTTCTCCTTATTGAAATGCAAAATCTTTTTCCGCTTTGCTAGATTGCCCAGGCACCATCGACTCTTCCTTCTTAGTTTTCTCTTTGATAAGGCTACATTAACAAATACAAACAAATTGACTAGTTTTTCCTTCTCTTAAAACTAACAAATTCAGAACAAGTTTCGGGAATACTAAGGGAAACCAGCATGGTACTTATGTTACTACAGATGCAAAAAAAAATCTGCACACGAATTTGCACATAAAAAGACTATTTGCCTTCTCTGCTGTATTCGTTTAAACAGTCTGATATAACTATAAGAAGCTAGACCTGAATTCCAACATCTTCCTTATCTGGGAAAAAATGTATTAATATAGTTTAGATAACCATTCATATCTTTCAAAGACATAATGGTAACATGCTTTATAGATGCCATTTCTAGGATCAGCATAGAAAGACCTTTTTAATGAAATTTTTTTAAAGAAAATTTGGAAGAAGGGTAAAATAAACAAATAAAAGACAGACATTCTCTCTTCTTGAAAGTGCCTCAAGCTATGGTTTCTGCTTTCCTATTCATTTTTATGCATTTTTCAAACTAAGTATGAAGAATTGTGTGCTTACAACACTATCAACACAATGTAATGATGCAGAAGAAGAGAAAAAACCATTTTAAATTCTTAAAATACAACTTTAAAATCTCTCAATCCCATCGCTTGAAATAATTTCTTGTCCCCTTGTCCCCCTACAGAAAAGCTGAAAATCAAAAAGAATTTCTTCTTTGTGTTGTAGCAATGTTGGAGCCATTTTCCTCCACACAAAAAGGCCACACGTATTAGTGCAAATAAATTCCAAGATAAGCACATTCCAACCAAAACACATTCATTTCTGATACACATTGATTTCAGAACAAAATGGAAGAACAGATGGAAAAATACAGCCTGTTATGTTAATGTTTCCATTTCTGGATCTCAACTCCATCAAGGTGACCACAACTAATTATTGTGAAAAGGCTATGCAATGTCCTTGCTTTACAACTGCCAGAAGAATACTATGGGTTATGTTGTTCAGTTATTGTAGCAGCTGCTTGCAAAACGCTTTTGCAGCTTGGAAGTCCCTTGGCCTTTCCTTGGCTGAGTAACCCAGCAGTGTGTCAGAATAAGTAATTGAAGAAATGTTGCTACTAGTGTCATGCAGCTGCCACTTTGAGGCCCAAAGAGGGCCATTCTTTTGCCATGAGGTCTTAGCAGGGGGTGAGATTGGGGTTGATCCCTCCCTCCCACACTGGAATATGACATTCAGCCAGAAGAAAATAAGAGACTTTGACAACCTGGTAAGAAAATGAAAGTGACGCTAAGGAACTCTTTTGCATTATCTGAAAGAACCAGATACATTTTCCATGTATACCCTGCTCCTCAGCTTTTTAGTTTAAGATCAGGTGTATATAGGTAGTCCTAAACTTACAAGAGTTTATTTAGTGACCGTTCAAAGTTACAACGGCACTGAAAAAAGTGACTTATGACCGTTTCCCCACATTTACAACCGTTGCAGCATCCCCATGGTCATGTGATCAAAATTCAGATGCTTGGCAACTAACTCATATTTATGACGGTTGCAGTGTTTCATGGTCAGGTGATCCCCTTTTGTGACTTCTGACAAGCAAAGTCAACAAGGAAGTCAGATTTACTTAACAATCATATAACTAACTTAACAACTTGCAGGGATTCACTTAACTGTGGCAAGAAAGGTCATAAAATGGGCAAAACTCAATCTGTCTCACTTAGCAACAGAAATTTTGGGCTCAATTGTGGTCATAAATCGAGACCACCTGCACATTTTCAAAGAATATAAAGATTCGAGAGATGGGGTTTTTTGGGGGGAAAAGCACAACCTACCAGTAACCAAATATTGATGTGAAATAAAATACTTATTGGGAGAAAGAACTTAAAAAGTTTTCTGTAGGGTCAAGTGGTCAATTTCCTTTCACAAATTATTCACATAGCAAAAGGACAGCATTTCAAGAAAGAAGCCAGAAGAAAGCAATCCAGTAATCATTTTTGTTGTCCTTTGTGACTAAATAGTAAAGTGATTCCAGAGTGGCATCAGTAGGATATGAGTAGATGTGGGTTATAAAAACGTTCATGTATCCTTTATTTGTAGGCTAAGAAATTAGAGGAGGAACAATCCACTAAATTAGTGGAAATAGACAATAAGAGAAAATTCAAGCATGCCCATTCTTGGCGTACAACGCAAGACCAGATGAATTAGCACTTACCATTAGGAATGAAAGGAGAACTAGAATCCAGAGGTATTGGTGGGTTTTTCATCTTGTCACCACATTCAGAATCCAATTTCTTGTCCTGCAATGTGGTACTTTGCTTTGGCATGACATGGTAATAGGATGGAGCATATTTTGAAGAACTACAACCTTTAAAAGTAACAATACATTGTAAGAATCCTTTACCCACTTTGTTGAATTATTCCAATATGTTGTGAACAACAAATACATGTGGGGATGATGCCACGTTCTAAAGACAGGGATTCTTGTAAAGAGGCATCTCATACCGGTAAGAATGCAGTATTGCAGGCTAATTCTGCCAATTGCCAGCAGTTCAATTTTCACTGACTCAAGGTGGACTGAACCTTCCATCCTTCTGAGGCCAGTAAAATGAGAATCCAGATTGTTGGGGGCAATATGTTGATTCTATAAACAGCTTAAAGAATTCTGTAAAGCACTGTGAAGCAGTATATAAATCTAAGTGCTATTGCCATTGCTATTGATACTGCTTTAAGTCCTCTAGGCAGAAATAAAATGTTTCTTATACATAGAATACGCACAGGCATATTCACTCTATTTCAGTCACAGTAATGCAATACATTATTATTATATAACAGTGTTAAAATCATACTGTAATTGTTTTTTTTGAAGAGCCAAATAATGAGAAAACCCACCTCTTTTTTTGCGTGATTCTTGAATTTCTTCACAAAGGTGTTCAAAATTTTCATCCATTTCTTCCTTTATTATTGCATAGGCTGTATCTTTGAGAAAACAGGCTCTATGTCTAATCAAACGATCTAAAACAAATAGACAAGAAAATACTTAGTTCCACAGAAAAGTCTGTGAATATTTCAGAAATAGTTAGTATGAACTTTAATAGTACAATTTCAGTTTTAAGTTACACTACTCTTAATTCCTTCTTTTTTAACATGATAAAGAACAAGTTGGGTACTGCAAGCTTTTAAAACAACATCTGCTTATTTAATGTAATATACAGTGGAGTTTGTTTAGTGACCTAAAACTAGCACTGAAAAAGTGACTTATGATTGTTTTTCCCTATTACAATTGTTGCAGCATCTCCATGGTCACATCATCAAAATTTGGATGCTTGGCAACTGGTTCATACTTATGAAGGTTTCAGTATCTCAAGACCATGTGATCACTCTCTGATCTTTTGACAATAAATGGGCAAGCCAGATTTATTTAACAACTATGTTACTAACTTAACAACTACAGTGATTCACGTAACAACTGTGGCAAGAAAAGTAAACGATGGGGCAACATTTACTTAACAACTGTCTCAGCAACAGAAATTTTGGGTTTACTTGTGGTCACAAGTTGGAGATTACTTGTATCATAATTTGCTTATGTATAAACATTAAGGCTTACCTCCAGGATCTCTATCAGGATTGTACTCTAATGCATTGCTACAGATGAGGTCAATATCTTTTAGATAATCTTTGGCAGACAGATACTTGTGAAGATCAATTTTTGAAATAATGGTTGAAAGATCCATCGGCTGCTTGATAACTGTGACATAGTCTGGTACCTACAGGAGCATTATAAGAAAAACGTCTGAATATATTATCTGCCTTTAGGAGTAAAATAAGTTTACATTTCTGTATGTTTTCTGTATGTTTTAAGAATGGTTGATACTAAAAATGTTGGCATGAATGCTTCTGAACTACCTTTTAAAGATCATATTTTGTATTCAATTTGAGGGGGGGGGGAGGAGAGACCAAAAATATTTTAGTCAACTGCAGAGTTCTGGAAATGTAACCAATTACATATGGCAACCTGGGAGAATAGGAGACTTGGAGTCCACAGGCCACATATAACTCGAGCTTCCATTTTAGAGCTTCCAGAGAAACTATCAAGCAATTAATTTTTAAAAGTGTAAATTTTCCTGATTTTAGAATAAAAAGAAAAGCTCTCAAAATAAGGTCAATTTTTCCTTTTCAGAGGAGAGAAGCAAAAGGGGTATCTTATATTATCCCTCAAAAGGTAAGGCATTTATTTCATCCAGAAGCCTGCCTTTCCACCTGGTTGAGAAGTTGGACTCTCCTATTCAATTGGAATCAATTTATAAGTGGTTATGATCCCTACAACTCCTAACCACAAGGAAGTTGCTCCCCCTTGACATAAGGCATATAAAAATTGTATAAAAGAGAAGGAAGAAAATAGGACAAATCACTAGGGTAACTATCCTGCTGAACCAGACCAACATTCTTTGTAATTTTAATTTCTGTCACATATTTTTTGAGAAAAAGAGCTTCATCAAGAACTGTACAGGTTCTTCTATTGAGACTTATTTGAGTTCCTATATTTATGTTTTGAAAGATATACAAAGCATCTGCCAAAAACCCTTTCTCCTCCAATTCCCAAGACTAAACTCCTTTGAAAAGAGAGAAATGAAAAACATTCAACCTATGAACAAGAAGTTCTAAAAAGAGAAATAAGAGAGTAGACAAAGGCAGAGGATATAAGTAGAAATGAAGAGCAAGGAATGTTAGTAGCGAATGAAAGATGGGAAAATGCCGAGCAGGTTATGATCAAAAGGAAAGCGACAGAGGGAGAGAGAACACTTTTAATAGTTTGAGATCTCTTGATGCCTTTAGTGACGATGCGCACATCCCATAATTGCTTTCAAATTTTAATATTTTAAAATCAAATTTACCATTTACAGTATTCATCTTCAGCAGCATTTAGCTTAGCATTTTGATGTAAATTTTGTCTGCATTCATTACTTTTTCTAACTGATAATTATAACCTTATGGTACAGGAGTCCCTAACCTCTGATCCGCAGCCCGGTGCCAGGCTGCAGTCCATTCAGAACCAGTCAGAATTAATGGGTGGCTGAGACGCAGGCAAAGTTGCATGTGTGAAAGTGGCGTCGCACAAACAAAATAATCCCTCTCCCATTCGCCACCACTGTTGGTCTGTCGAGCCAGAAAGATTGGAGACCACTGATCTAATAGCAACATTTGGCAAATTTCAAACTTAATATAATCAACAATAGTCAATGATTACACTGAGGAATGTACAAGAAAGGAAATTATTTTGAAACTTGTTACCTCATGCAAATCAACAGGTTTTGAAAAGGCTCGGAAGCGTTTATCAATGGCAAGTCTGTGTGTCACATTTCTTAAAAAATTTCTGAGTTCGCGTAGAGTATCTTCTTCCTGCTCCTCAAGTTGCTTGATCTCCTGTTCTGTCAGCTGCCGTGGTTGAGGTGGGGGAGCTACTGGTAATACCTCTAACGCCTGCAAAACTTAAAAAGAAAATGGATTTGTAAACATGTAGCTATTTACAAACCATCCTACAATAAGCTTTATCTGAGGTATTTGCAGCACATCTACCTGTTTTCTTTTTTGACACCGGTGGTTTAATTGCTTCATGGAGAATTAAACTCTCAAAGAATTTTCTTCTTTCTTCAAAACTCGGCAAATGAACTTCAAAAACTTCTCCAAATGGTTCTCTAAAGCCATTAACAAATAATTTCTTTACCTAAAAAAAGATGCATCATGGAAAACAAATTAATAAGAGAAGAAATGAAAAAAATTAAAAGGTAACTGAAGTTACTGTGTCTGTAGCCTCGCAAAATTCTAGAACTATCGAACTACTATTGCTTCATGCAGAAAGTCTGACAAAAATAGAGAGCGTTGAAAATACAATTGTGGGAAACATTTAGCCAACTTAGCAATTTATTATAGAGTATCAATCTTTATTGCGGTAATGCAACAGAGTTTTTGATAAGCAAGCAACACTTAGGTATGAGGTGTGTGTATACACTTTTATTTTAAAAAAGAAACCCCCATTCTCTTAAAAAACATTAAGGATGGTGAATTAGGATGGTGGTTTTTTAAAATTTCCTTATCTTAAACTTGTGTTGCTAGATAAGGGCAAAATCAGATACAATAAGGTATAGTAGATTATCCCATGAACAAATTGCACATACCTCGCCTGGCAGAGCTTCATGATGTGTATCTGATGTTGCAAGAAGAAAAATAGGAGCAAAGGATGGAATGTTCTGTAATAATGTAGTAAAGGTTGCTTGCAACGTGTGTCCAATCGTTCCCCACCATATGTGAATATTTGGAATGTATATTATACTTGGCGCTGTTCTCTTAGCTTCACAGATCAACTAGGAAAAGAAGACATTTTAATCATTTAAAATTCAGATGTCCACTGATTACCTAGTCAATTAACAGATCATAATTTAAACTGTACTTATATCCCCCCAGAGTTCATAGCCAATTATGATGGCTTCAGTTGATAAAATCAAGTTTTTAAATGTATGAAAGACTGAAAAAAGGTAAGAAAGCAGACCAGCTTAATTTAAGAAGCAGAAGAACTATGGAAATGAAACATTTTAAAAAGACTTGGCTTTAGTGATTCAATTAAGCCTCTAATAAGAATTTACACTTAGTTTTCAAGATTATGGTTTTACTCATGGCTAGTGTTAAAGATATATTTCTAAAATCATTGTATCCTTATTTGGTTTGCCAGGTAGGCTTGATAAATCTGGTCCGTATCCTGTCTAGGAATAAGTTGTTGTTTGATAGCCACAATTTTTGGAATTTGAATTTCCATTTGAAGTCAGATAGTATTTTGCAAAACAGACTGGACAACTTACAACCAACAGGCATTGTCTGCATTTCAGTCAAAACTGACCCTGATGTAACAAAAGACTCTGGCATGGAAGAGACAAATTCTCCAACCTCCAGCCTCTGCCCTCTTAGATTGCAGGCAGAATTACTAAGAAGTTGACAGAAGCAAACAGTGTATGCTGGGACAGGAAAAAACTGACTGTTCTCCAATCCATTCATACCGAATTCTTCAGGAAGAAGTAATTTCTACTTCCTGGAAATTTATCTTGGTAACCCCTGGGGAAGAGGTAGCATTCATTTTCAAGGTTGATATTCTCCACAGAAATAGGGAGTGTTTATAGGTAGTCTTTGACTTACAAAGGCAATTGGAACCAAAACTACTTAAAAAGAACTAAGTAGTACAGGATAATGAAATACCTGTGCACATGTTTCTTCAGGGGTTTTGGAACTGACACCAAAGAGGATAGAAAGGTCTAATGTATAAACAGGAAACTTTTCTAAAGCATGTATAACTGCTGGAGCCAAATGAGAGGCTTGTCCATATTCTGGCTCACCACTAATTAAGAGTCTTGGTCGGCAAGATGTTGGTTGGTGACAAGCATTTCTATTAAAAGAAAAAAAGGAAACAAAGAGCTCCAAACTCAATTCAAATATTACTTTTTCAATCATGTAAGATCCAAGATCAGTTTGAAACGTCAAGTAATTGTTTTTACTTAACAAATTTTAAATATTCAATGCCCTTGATTGTTTTAAATCAAAACAATAAAGGGTGTAATAAAGCATTTCAGTTCATTCATATAAAGATATATATGCTTCAACAACTAAGCTATCACAAACTGCAAGTATTCATGACCTGTAGTTTTTTTTTAAAATATCTATATGCACACCAAAAATTCAAAGCTAAATAGCTCCATTTTTTCTGCCTAAAAATTAACTTGTGTTAGCATCACTAAATATCCTTTTCTCACTCTGCTTTTCAATGTTCTGGCTGTTCCGGCAGGCCTGGGGCTATTGAGTAATATTCCAGCCCCACGTGACTGAATGGTGATTTTGTTTTAAATAATTGTACTTTTAATATTCTATGTCTTTGCTTTGTTGTGAGCCGTCCAGAGTCCCTAGGGAGTGGGCGGCATACAAATTTTATTAAAGTTACAAAGTTACAAAGTTCTAATTCATATATTTATGCACAAGTTCATCCAAAAACTCTGCAAAAATAATACCGTCCTTTTAAATTTAGTACTCATCAAGAAATAGAAGGCAACAAATAAATCCTATTCAGTAAAGAAAAAAACCCTAAAACATGCATGAAAATAGTAAATGTTAGGGTGGGTTTATTTTTTTTGGGGGGGGGGGTAAAGATTGCCATTAATCACCCACCTATTAAAATTAAGAAAATGTGTCCGTTTTTCAGAACCTTTCTGAAAATGTCCTGTTTCAAATACTGGTGGTCCTTCTTCATCGCTGTATAGCAGATCTTCTGACACATGATAAGCAAAATCTTTAAATGAAACAACAAGAGGCAAAGATTTTCATGTGAATGTTGTATCTTATTTCTAAGGCTAAGATTTTTTTCTTCTCACTGGGTCATTGAATCTTATTTCTAAGGCCAATTTTAGATTTTTATTTAAACACCGGCAATTAAAATAAGTTGTCAAGAAGCCTGATACCAACTTTCTAGTGAAAATATAATAAAATGAAAAAAGGCCCCAGGGTAGAATTATATCCTATTAAATTACAGCTCAAATGTACCTGTTTTAGATACTAATTTTTGTTTGCTGTTACATTTTAAATAACCTGGTTTATTTAAAAGTATATTCTATTCCACAAAATAAAATGTGCTTGCAATTTTGATGCAATTAGAATCACAACCTTTAATCAGTTCTCATGGTTTCTATGTAAAATAGTTAGCAGGAAAACTAATGTTGGGAAGCAATTATTCACTAAGGGCCATATAAACTGCAGAGGTGTTTCATTGTAAGCTAGTTCATCACGCTTCTATTTTCCTCTGCTGTGTGTGCTGCATTATGGGAAAAAGGAACAACAGACAGGGCCATTTGTTTCACTGGCAAACCTATGTGGCCTCATCAATATTATTTTGATTTCTTGTACCAATTTTTTCCTTCCACTGATAAAATGCAGCAATATATTGGTGGAGGAATGATTGGAACAATAGAACATGTTATTTTGTATTGTCCCTCTAACTTGTCAGGAATTATCATCTCCATTCCTTACACAATATCCTGCTCTTTTCAACTTGTTTTATCTTAAGTTATTATCACATCAATTTCATTTTATTTCTTTGCAAGTAATATTGTGTGAGCTCAACGGCACTCAGGTCTCGAATCCGGGCTGTCAGCTTTCCAGTTGACAAGCTCAGTGTCTTAACCATTGAGCCATTACACCCCTTCTTAGATATTTTGCAATATTTTCTTTTTTATTGTAAATATTTTTTTTTGGGGGGGGGGGTGCTTGTTTTATTTGCTGGTCAATGACTGTATAAAAATTGATTTAAGTGATTGTACAATATGCATTCCTATTATTAGATAAATATTGATAAGAAATGAGGAGGAAGGAGTTTCAGTTAGATATTTTATTTATTTACCTATTTCTATCCTGCCTTTATTATTTTTACAAATAATTCAAGGCAGAAAACATATCCAACACACTTTCCTCCTCCAATTTTCCCCACAACAACAATATGTGATGTGTAGAGATTCTCAGTCATTCAGGTCATGGTTGTTCCAAAGGTGCTTTTTCAGGGGGCAACTGGACTCACTTGTTTTTTCTTTTGAAGACATTTCCCTTCTCATCCAAAAAGCTCTCATTCACCTCTGACATAACAGTGAGGAATGGAAGGATCCTAACAGGATGCAGATTACCAGCTGTCTGCAAGGAATGTAAATCCATCCATTCCCTACTGTCCTATCAGAGCTGAAGAAGCTTCTTGGATAAGAAGTGAAACACCTTCAAAAGAAAAAACAAGGAAGTCCAGTTGCCCCTGAAAAAGCACCTTC